GATGCTTCGTCACTGATTAGGGTAAAAAAGCTTCCCAAGTACTTCTCGAACAATCCTTTCGGTCCCGAGGTGTTGAGAAGGGACGCCGTAGTCACGAAGATGACGTGTGGTGGCCGAACTTTAAACATAATGCGCGCCATCTTCTCAATCGTGTTGGAGACGTCCTTCTTAGAGAACTACTACGAGAGGATCGACCTGCCTGTTGCCGCTTTCGTCTCCTTGTCGCACATTAGGAAGCCAAGTGTCCTCGTCCACCGCAGAAATAACAGTAAATATCAGAGAATACCATGCGTGAGGGTCGTCGTAGTTTTGGTTCTTGAAAGCGTACTCGATTTGGGCCGGCCTGAAAGTTCGCCTATTAGCGAAGCTACTGTGATTAGGAGGCACAGTATAAGACGAAAGAAAGGAGGACTTTACCTGGTTGTCTTTGGACTTACCTGAAGTGGCGATAGGTTCCGCCGAACTTACTGCCACTGGCACCTGAGGGTGCGATGGATGGATGAGTCGGCCTGCCGAGGCTTCGGAGAGAAGTTGTTCAACGCGTTCGGCCTCCGCCAAAGCCTCCGAAAGATGCTGGTTTTGCGAAGCGAACGTGAAACCTCAAATCAGCGTGCAAACGTTGTATAAATTCTTGCAAAAATAAGTCGCCATCAAGGGTTGGATCCCGGCCGGTCGCGTTGCGCAGTAAATTTAATAAGCGAAAGGCAAAGGTTGAACTAGACTTACCTCTTTCCTGACGGCATGTGGTTAAGACTTGCCTTGCTTCAGCCTTCTGCTTCGGGCCCTCGTAGTGCGTCCTGAGATGATCAACTAAAGCTTCGTAATTTACCTTGTCTTTTGCCGATAGGGTCTCGACTCTTTCCCTTGCCACCGATTCCAAATAGGCTACCAGATAATTGGCTTTGTCCTCAGAAGTTAGGATCTTGCGCCGCATCGAATCCTCCAGACGGCGCAGCCAGAGCGAGAAGGGTTGCGAACTAGAGGTGCCGTAAATGGCGTAACACGGGAGGGGAGCCCGTCAGGGCAACAGGTAGCTACCAAAGGAATCTGTTCGATACGTGAACCAATTGCGGCAAATGAGTCATTAAGTCCATTAAGCAGGTTGGAGTTACCTTGGTCGACCTGTTCAGCTAATTGCGCCGTTGCTTTCTTTGCGTCCTTCCATACTTTGATGAGGGCCTCAGTTGTAGCTTCCTTGAGCTCCTTTGCGTCTCGTCCGTGGACCGTCGAGGCGTCGTCCAGATTGGCCAACGCCCTCGCTAAGGGTGCCGTCACTGCCTCAGTACTCACTGGTGGAGTGGCATCAGCCACTGTGGATTGCTCCACAACCGCCTTGGAACGCGTTACCGGTACCGGTACCATAACTAAAAAAGAACGAGTCACCGAGGTTCAATAGTAGCAGCGCAACCATACTAGAGTCTTCCAATAATAAAAACGAAAGGATGGACAATCAATCTCAATCTCAAATGGGAAGAGGAAGCTGCGCAAATGAGCGATGAGTGACGAGTGAGGCGCGCTAAACAGTCTTGGGAGTGGGCGTGGCTAGTACGGTACCCTTAAGTAGGATATTCAAACTGTTTGTTATTTCCTCAGGCCCTTATCTATGCTTGCCATCTCAAGGAGTGAAAGAAATGAACACGGATAAATCTCATGAACTTTGTATTTACTTCATTTCTTTGCCTTATCTGTTCTCGCGATCTTGGCGTAATAAGAAACAAGCAAAAAGTTCAAGCTTTTCCGCTTTATGGCATTTTCTCAGCTTCACTATCTATGCTTCCGATCTCGCCATGAGAAAGTAACGGCCGTGAACTTTTCCTTCGGAAACATCTTTGTTTACAATCGTACTGTATCCGATCTACCAAACTGAATTCATGAGAAGAAATCTAAATTCGATGATAAATCTCTTGTTTGAAAGTCCAGAATTCTTATGGCGTAATTAGTAAAAACTAAGCTGGGAAATGACCGAGGAGTTTTGAGTCTCAAAGGAAGTCCTGAATACATGCTACGCGTAACTTCAACACTGACGAGGTCGAGTGTAAAAGGAATGAAGCGTTTGAATAGAGTTGCACACAAAGGAGATTGTGTGAGCATGAAAAATTTCAAAGGCGAAATTGCGCCACTGCGCTCGTTTTCAATTTCGAATGCGTTTTCCGAGACAAAGGAAGCGCACGGGAAGAACTGAGTTTTTAGCTCACGACTCAAAATTTCATGATATCACTGGATGTGCGCGAAACACCCATCGAAGGAAACGGACTTGCTAAACGGGTACGCTTGGAGAGAAATAGGGACACCATAACACAGAGTAAAATCTAATATCAAAGGAAGATAGAGGAAGCAATCGCACTCGGGAAGTTCTGGTATTCAGACAAATAGCATTATGAGCCTGCCATCTGGCCTGCCTGCTGCGTCAGAAACGATACTCCAACTTAGGTCGCCAGATGTGCCCTACAAGGTAAAAGAAACTGCGATCGAACGCTAAATATCAATTACGCTCAGACCTAGCTGAGAAATCGCCATCAGCCCTACGCTGGAGCAATTTGATAATCAGCATAAAACTGCTGAGAGCACCGTGCGGACAAACAATTATTACCACCCAGCTCAACTTACCCGCGCGCAACTACTAATTAGGGGGCGAACGCCTGAGCCAACAACACTACAAATCACATACTAAGGGTCTGCACCTTAACTTAACCGGCCGGGAGAACATCTCATAACACTCACAAACTTAAATTCAGAGCGCTGGATTCAACACTTTCATGGCGTTCTATTTTCCACTGGACGTCCACCATCAGGTGTGCACACTAACTACCAGCATAAAATTGCTGGGAACCGCGGAAATCACGTCAGCACAGAGAATCGTGGCTTGACATTTTAATTTCAAAAAATTCGACACACACGTTTCCGGAACCTGGCCAGGGTTACGGAAAAAGTTGGAAGCCCTTAAAAAATTGTCAAAAACAGTCACAATAAACTCCTCTCAGACGTCGAGCTGCCAAGTCACCGGTGGAGGCCCATCAGGGCTTTATTCGTGATTTTACTACTCACCTGTTCTCCTCTCGGCGGAACCACTCGCTGCTACCAGTAAGCGTTGCGCCGCGCAAACTGCTGACAAACTGGCAGAAACACCGATCCGAATTAATATAGTTTATCTGTTATAGCACCAAAAGGAATAAGTAGCACCGAACGTATATGAGCAATATTGGCTTAGGGATAAACACGTATACAATGAGGCAAATCGTGAGGATGAGATCAGGTGTATCACTGGGTACGGCGGCGGCCCAAAGAGATAAAGAAGAGAAGTGATGAGCGACCACTCGGTGTCGTGGCATCGGAGAATCTCCTCGAGAGTTTCGCTTGACCGTCGGCGTCACGCCCTAAACATATGAGCCATCGTCCGACGAAGAAGCATGCGTAGACATGCTTACAAGGCAGCCACATTGGTGATATCTATGGGAACAATTCTGGGGCACAAGGGTAAGTTCCAATTCCACGAAGCACCCAATGGAGACGATTTTTGCGGCGCCATAAACAATTGAATCAACCATTGCACTAAAATATGATACCATTCGCAAAGACAACTAAGGAAGGATACACAGTAAGTGCAAACAAGGAGTAGCGGAAGCGAGGTCATATAGCTATCCGCATGGTGCATCAGTCAAAATGAAGAGACTTGCAATCTCTCCAAACAAGAAAGACGCGACATATCGCCCGTCACTGGTGCAGACTTTGCCGATTTCTCTCAGTTTCGGCGATGTCGTGGTGATATCGCCACTAGAGGTATGCCCGTCAAAAAAACTGCTGCAATGACACGCGATTTGTCGCCTATACAAACTGGCACGAATGTGGCAGGACCCACTCTCTTAAATACTTGAGCGCGAGGGTCAGGAACACATGTCAGGCGGAGCAATCGCGCCGCGATTGGAATCGCGTAGGGTATGCCCGATGCCTAAGGCAAACTTCCCGCGATTTTGGCAAGTCGCTACATCCGCGCGACTTGGCGTGTTGCCAGATGTCTACAGATTAATCGTGCGCGAGTGCCGAATGCATAGGCGTGTAACTCCTGTAAGTTCTCACAAAAGTGTCAAGTCTGGCCAAGGCAAAGTGCGCTTACGAAAAATTATGAAGAGTCGTTGCAGTGCCAGCTCGCGCTGCGAGTGAAATCGTGTGACGTATGCCTTAGGCCATAGGGATGCCCACGCTCAGGTAATCGCCGGAGGGGGGGGGGGGGCAGGCGGACCGCAAACTCGCGCTTTTTTGCGGACGGTCAGCAGAATTTTGGGCGTGGCCAAAGCTTTAGCGACCGGTACTTTCTTTACTACTGTCGCATGTTCGGCCAGCGGGCAGCAACACAGAATTTTCTGCGAGCGCTCGCCAAATGACTTTTTTCAGCGAGCGCTATGACTCTTGTTACGCAGTTTCGGGCATACGCCGAGCACAAAGGTAATATATGACAGATCTGTATCGTTGGTTTTATCATCCGAGTTTGGGGTACTTGCTTTCACAGTCAGTATAGGTAAAGGCTGCTTGACGAAGGCGCAATGGCGATATTAGTTGAGCGTGCGAGAACGCGACGCGCCCGTATCCTCACCGTTGTAGATCCCCACCTCATGCGCTCTGCGGCTAGTAAAGCCGCGTTCGCGCCCGAAGATATTGCGCCTTCGTCATGCAGCAGCCTAACCTAGGAGCTGTGCGATCCTTCACGAAGGAGCATGCGGCTCTGAACATTTGCATATTATCGCGGAAACTCCGAGTCCAGAATGTGGCTACGGCACAGCAATTGAACTGTGAAAAGCCGCGATTGTTTGTTCTAAACGTTCGTCCAAAAAGTGGCCAACATTCTTCCGAATATCTACAAGAAGACCTTAAGAAATCAACGAACTATTATTCCGTGCCCGCTTGCCTATAAATCGCATGCTGCCTGCTCCGGCGATTATCCGAGTAAGCTAAGAAGTAAATTTGTCGATTTCAGAAACCAACCAATTGGGAGTGACATGTACAGGATGCCCCGGGGGCACCGTCTTCATCTTGAGTTAGCAAAGCGCTTCAAAGAGCAGCATAGAAATGGGTGCTATTCAAGATGTGATGGAGATCATTCCCGGAGTGATTTTGAAGTTAGGACTTGTTTTTTTGGTCACGATGGATCAAGCACTCCATTGCAGATTTGGAATATAGAAAAGTCGAAAAAGAGTCGGAGAGTCACTAAACTCATCAGAAGAACAGTGAAAAGATCAGCCACAACACATTTTACAATTTTGCTTGTCAACATACACGAGGGAATGGAGGAACTGGATTCACAAGAGCAGAAAACTCAATTTGGAAAATGAAAACGCATTCACAAACATAGCCCAAGTTTTGCAAAGTGAAACTTTTCATATTAGCTTTCAAGTTCCATTTTGTTTGATTCTTAGACTCTTTCGTTCCTTTGATATACATTCCCTTACAATGGCAATCCTTTAATCAGGCAAAACACTCTTATGATGGCAGTGCAAGTTATCGCTTATCTTGGACATCTCGGACATGAAGTAAACACGTCTATTTTCCTCAGTGGAGGACGAGAATATCAAAAAACCATGACTTTATTTAAGCTACCATCTACTCGGAGAATCGCTGAAAGTAGACGGCCATGCAATTTGTAGGCAAGCGGGCACCGCAAAAATATTTCGCTGAATTCTTGCTGTCCGCTTGCAGATATTTGGAACAATGTTGGCCACTTTTCAGACGAAGGAATGGCCGCAGTCTCGTGGACTTTCCGCGAGAATATACAAAATTGTTGAGGGCCGCACGCTCCTTTGTGAAGGACCGCACAGCCCATAGGAAGTGCTCCAAACTCGGGTAATCAAACCCAGCGATGCACCTCTGCCATATAGAGTGTTACCTTTGCTCGGCGTTTGCCTGAAACTGCGTAAGAAGAGTCAGAGCGCTTGCTGATAGGAATTGTTTGGCGATTGCTTGCAGGAAATTCTGTATTGGTGTCCGCTTGCAGAACATGCGATAGCGAAGTAAGTACGGCTCGCTGATACGGCCACGTCCTAAAATTCTGCTGACCGCTTGCAAGAAAGCGCGACTTTGCTGTCCGCCTGCCCTCGGCGATTATCTGATAATCGTGCTTTCAATTTACCTCTAGAATGTCACAAAACTTCGCTTGAACATTGGTCAGACGGAGAGAGTGCACAAATGAGGGATGTGAGGTAGGCTGCGGTTATGTCTGAGCAATCTCAATCCATACATATTCTTAGAAATATCGCTCTTCGCAATGGTTTCGTGGATGACAGAACGAGTGATGATGAACCTTCGCTGAAAACTCTACTAGACCGAAGGATAGCTGCTTCGAAGTCAATCGACACAACGAACTTCGCCGAAGACGGTTTTGTGCTAAGCTAGTGATATTGATATTGAATGCTGTTAATGATACTGGCTGTGCCCGTCCTTAAGCGGCACAATTCAGCTGCAAACGGTAAGAACTACCTTCAGCATTACACCGCGGCCTTGACTTGACGATATATTCAACGTAACGCACTATTGTCTACGTCTCACTACTTTGGCTGTCGTTGATGAGCTGATAAACGGCTTCCCATGCGCCCACACCCTTTCCTTCCGGATGTATCTTTTAACTGACCAAGATACGACTCTGTTGAGAGTATGAGAGCACTATTATAGATTTTTATATTTTTTCCCTTATTTTTTTATATTTTTTCCCGAATGACGGATGCGTACCTAATCTTGCACCCCGCTATGTTATGACTGATGATAAATACGTATTCTACAATACATTCAAGGAGGTAATCCCCAGCAGTGTGGCAGAGAATATCTTATGCGCCTTTAATAATGGTTAGGCATTTCAAAGGGAACATAAAAGAAGTTTCAACACTGCGGATTCCCTATCTCATCATTTATCGTAGCACCGATTTTGCCACTGTACTTGAAGGGTGCAAACATTAACGTTGGAAACCGACTTTTTCGAGCGGTTTCGTTAGAGGTTGAAGTTCGAAATTTGAGAGCAAGTTCTCCGCACACATACTCTCCTCTATAGGATCAACAGATATGCTTTACTATCTGGGATTGATAATCGTTTTAATGTTTATTCCAATTTTTTAAATTTTTTTAGTACAGCGAAAGAAATTATTCTTGCAGAAGACGTGAGTGGGCATCATGCTATCACGAGACGCTCATTTTACAACATCAAACCACCTTGAGTCCTGGCATTGCTTGTTGACACATGCTTTACTACGAAGCAAGCAGAATGGCAGATTATACACTCTCACACATACTTTGTTGAAACATTCAGAAGACAGAAATTTAGCTTATTTCCTCGGTCGGAGACTTATCAATGAATAATTCGCCGGTCGGTTAATTCTTCTGAATAAATCTGTTATCTGTTCTGTGAAAGTTTTGAAACACTATCAAATCTAAGACATCATTCATCCTCAGTGAATCTTAGCAGGTTTGTAGAGATTGTACTGTTTATCTATATTAAACACTAACTGCGGTTTCCGGTCCCGCCCGGGCCGAGGATTCAAAATAGCCCGGCTTAGGATTTGCTTCAAATCGTCTTATTACTTACCATTCCTCCATTTCCTTCAGTTCATATCTTCTCTTCTTGCTTCAGCTCCGAGTTAATTGCAGCGCTCCTGTGGTATAGATGGTGAATTTGCCTTCCGTCGTGATCCCCTCGCTACACGGCATCCTCCTCACTACAAAATGTTAATGATCTCTACCGCCCCTTACTACTTGAAGAAATGAATGGTTTGCTTTCATTTCCTTAGATATTAGTATACAAATCAATAAATCGAGAAGGACTTAGCGAAAAGTCTCCAAAGGCAGCCTATCTTTTGCGTCGTGTCTCATTTATAGGAAAACGAACTTTAGCCTCTTCGATTCACATCAAAGGAGTCTATAAGACACAAACACCCTAGCAAACAAAGGTACAGTGTTTGAGTTTTATATATACAGGGTGTCCCAAAAAAATGTTAGCTCTGTTTGATCTTTAATGACTGCTTTCACGTCTTTCGCCGAGCTTGAGGCGCCATTCTGCAGATCGAGGTTTACCTTAGACTTATGGTAAGGAGCGAATCACCGTTTGCTCTTCCTTACTGTAGGATTACTGTAAGAACTTTCAGCATGTATAACCGCTGTGAAATATGCCATCTGACAAAATTTTTTTTCAATAAATTTGAAAAATCGTGTACTAAGGTTTTTTCACGAACGCTGACTCCACTACACAACTTTCTACGATGTTTTCAGCTTTCTTGCGGTGTAATCACATTTTTGACACAAGCCGGGAAGTCAGTTATTACGTTTACCTGGAATAACTTTGAAAAGAAGCATCATAGTAAAGTGAAAATTTTATATTCGAAATTAGCGGTTCCCATCACCATAATGCAAGAGACTATGGCTTGTTTGGCTCTGTTTCGAGGCAGAAAATGGCCTTCAATGGCCTAAAATCCTTGTCGAATTTTCAACCGTAATCCTACAGTAAGGAAAAGCAAACGGTGATTCGCATAATATAGATCTAAGTTGAACCTCACTCTACTGGATGGTTCCTTAAGCTCGGCGAAAGACTTGAAGCAAGGGAGTTATTAACGATCAAACAGTGCTAACATTTTTTTTGGGACACCCTGTACATATAGATTCTTGTTATACATAGTTGGTAGCTGTTATATTTCGTTACCGTTGACTGCTGTATTATACCAGAGTATCATTCTGCACCCATTGTGCACCTTATGATTATTTATTCGTATCATTTTCAAAACTCTCAAAAAAACTATCATTTGGTTGTTGCAAACCTTCAACAAAGAAGCTGCATTGAGTGAAGACCAAGGAAACTTGTTGCGAATCTCTAGCGAATAAGCTGATGCGACTGGGCAGAGAAATAATAGCTTGTTGTGAATCTTTACAAAGAAGCTGACACGACTGACAGCACATAAGAATAGTAGATGAAACCCATAGCGACTGCCATTACAGAACTCTTGATGCCTGCATTACCATTTTGCTTTCACACACTACAAATAACTTCTAAAAACAGCCTCCCCCCATCAAATGTTTATTCCGGTATCACAGTGATTCGACTGCTCTGACTCAGCGTCCAACTTCTCTCCTCTGACATTCATTGCCTGTAAACGGCACGCAAAAATTATAAGCGACGGAAGCTTTGCGTATAAACGTCTCATACGCAACGATTGTCAGACCATGAGGTCCTTTTTTCTATCCAACTTCGTCTTTCCTCTTTAATCATCCTCATCTCCTCGTCTTCATCTGCATTTACCATCTTCCTCTATCCGCTTTTGTTGACTGTGCCGTTCTTAAGCGCTCCTGCCTGTGTCTGTTGCGGAATGGGAGTCACTAGCGAAAACATTGCTTTATATAGAGAGTTATCGCTATCGCAAGTGCAATAATTTCCATTTCGGTTTTAGAAGATACTAGCTGCGGTTCCCGGTCCCGCCCGGGCCGAGAGTCCAGAATGGCCCAGCATAGGGTGTGCTTCAAGATGTATACTTACCAGTCCTCCACTTTCTTCAGTTCATATCTTCTGTTCTCTCCTGCTTCACCTCCATGTCAGTTTTAGCGCTCGTGTAGTATCCGTGGTAAATAGTCTTCTTTCTTGACCGGCTCGCTTCATGACACCGCATGCTCCTCACCGCAAAATGTAAATGATCTCTACCACCCCTTACTACTCACTTGGAGAAATGAATGGTATAGCCTTCATTTTCCTAGATTTTAGTAAACAAAATCAATAAATCGATAGAAATACCCAGCGAGTTGTCGAAAAAAGTAGCCTATCTTTTGCGCCGTGGCTTGTTTATAGGGAAACAAAATTCAGCCTCTTTGGTTCACATACAAAGGAGTCTGTAAGCCACAAACATCCTAACAAACACGGTACAGTGTTTGAGTTTTATATATATATAGATGTACGCTACAACATTCTGATGGATGGCGTGGGATATCGGTCAGTCACATCATTTTCACCCTGTACTGCACTACGAAGCATATCTTTAGCGGATTCCTGATCGATTACCCTCTCTTTCCATTTTTTTGAGTAATTGTCAAATTGAAGAGCAGTTTGCATCTTTTGGATATACGAATTTGAAAACTGCCGAGGATAGGATGCTTCAAACAAGCTTACTCTTGTAAGGTGAGGATGATCTCGCAAAATGCATTTTTGCGGATTCACTATGGAAATCAAACGCATAAGTAACTGAAACGAAAAGCGATTTTAAAGTTTTTAGAGAGAACATTACTTTTTTAAGATACTTTTCTAGGACTAGTTCTACAAACAGTGGAAACGAAACAAAAGTTATTATTATTTTCTTAACGAAATAGCTGGCAG